CGCGGCTTGACCTTGTTCAGTGTAACCGCAGTCACCTCGACAGTTTGCGGTGGTTTCGGCTCCCATAGGGCTTTCATGTCCTGGTCGTCCAGAGTGATACTGGGTGTGGTGGTCTCCTCCGGTAGTGGTGGGTGCTCGCTGATCACCACTTGGTCCTTTCTTCTTCCCACTCTCATTGGTGGGTTCGTTGTCCCCGCCACCTTGTTCCAGGGTAGCGGGGTTCTGGAGTTTAAAGTTGGTCGGCTCTTAGTGGAGGTGGTACGGCCCCGTCTGGTAGTGGTGGCTTCCGACATGTCTCTATCTGGACCATGGGAGGAGTCGGTAGCTCGCGGTCGGCTGGTTTTCGCCTTAGTGGTTGGCTTGGTGGTTTCGTCGTGGGATGGGTAGCGCTGGGTTGCAGTCAGTAGCTTGTTCGAGATCTCGTTCATCATCTTGTTGATCTGCTCAGTCTGCCTGTCCGAGATCTCGTTCATCATCTTGGTGATCTGCGCGGTTTGCTTCTTGTGGTGTTCCTTGGTTAAAGTGGTCATACCTGTGTAAGCCTCGACCATGTCGTTTAGCATGGCCGTCTCGGTTTCTCCACGTTTCCTTTCCGCCCTTACGTCTTGTCTCAGTCTGGCGATTTCTTCCTTTAAATCGTAGACTACCACTGCTAGTTCTCCGAGGGTAGGTGGAGTCACTTGGGTGATTCTGCGTTTGCGTTCAGGTAGTGGTTGCGGAGCTATGGTAATTGTGGTGGTCTCTGGTCTGGGCGCGGGGGCGTCCCCTCCATCAGTGGAGTGGTAGTCTTCTTCCATTACCAGGACTTCTTCGGTCCGGCTCGGTAGTTCTCTGTTCCCTCTTCTAACTGGTTCTGACCTTACATCAGGGGGATCGTTGGTATGTTTACCATCACTAGTTGAGTTGTTGTTGTTAAAAGTTTTGGTGCTTCTAGCAATCGAACCTTGCTTGCTGTACTCCCGTTAGCCGGGGCGGCGTTTGTGGTGGTAAAAATTGGTGTTCACTACTTGTGTTACCTCTCTCCGTCTTCCTGCCTCCGCTCCTCGTAGTGCCGGAGACGATGCACCGACAAGGCCGGGT